TTTTTAGCAATATGCTATTTACACTAAGTGCAAATAGCTATAGATTCTATTTAGACTGTTAAAATAGCAGGATTTTCTGCTATTTATACTACTTATTGCAAATAGTGGCAATTATCTGCACCTCAGTATTGTAGTACATTATAAAACAGTACGCAATAATAACATATTGAGTGTAAATTATCATTTTAATTCAAATTATTAAATGGATGCCACCTTATTGGGACAATAAAACCCTCCCTACACCTACCCTAACCCTACCTGATACTTTATTTTTAACTTTTTGATTTTTTCCGTCATTTTTATTGAAAATAAATGCCTTTTCGATGTGATATGAGATTTGAAAAGGGAGGAAAAAAAGTTCGGCAAAAGGCAGATTCGAACTCGGGTCGTGTCAAAAAGACTGCAGTACATGATTTACCATCTACGCCAATGGAGCTGATGTTCGACAATCATCTTTTGTAGTGTTGACAACCCCAATCACATGTTGGTGGGCGGAGTTAGGGTAAATAGCCTCTGCCAACACAGGGTGGGATATTTGCACTTAGTGTAAATAGACACTCCGTTTTTGTTTTTAATGCAGTAGCATTTGTATTTTGGGGGCGGCTGTATTTTACAAGGAAGCTCAAAAAGTCTTTATAGTTGCTTTGTAATAATCATCAGTATTTGTTTTTATGTATTTCAGACAGTTGTTGTATGAGCTGTCAGAGTCCATCTGTGAGCAGGACCTGAAAAACATCAAATTCCTCCTGTTAAAAACACTACCGCGCAAAAAACTGGAGAAGGACACGGTGAGAGACACGGACACGGCCTCGGTGCTCTGACACCACATCTCTGCATGTGACCAGAGTGTGATGATTGACTAAACTAACTTACATATAAACAATCATGTCTTTTAGACGCTGTTGCAGTTGTTTTTGGAGATGGAGAAGGAGGACCTTTTGGATGGAAATAATTTAGACGTTCTGCAGAAAATTATAGGAGATATCAATCCCAGTTTAGAAAAAAGAATCATTCAATACAAAATGGAGAGTTGTGAGAGTGAGTGGCTGTTTTATTATTTCCTGATGTGATGTTAATTTGCCTCTGGTATATTTAAAATAAGCTATAAATCAAAACTGCGAGGAGGTAAATGGATTTTATGCATACGCTACAGTGTGAAGTGTTAAACCATAGAAATAAACATTAATTCGTATTTCTACAGATATTTGCATTTTGTTTTCTGTCTTACTGCAGCAGGTGGAATGGTTATTGCTCAGGAGATCGGGGATATTACTCCTGCGTTGTACTCACCTGCTCCGGTATAACTTCATTTGCCTAATTTGCATTAATATACATATTTTTGTGGATGCTTTACTCTTCACCATGTCATATTTCTTCTGTGGAACACAATGCTCATTTCCATGTTAATGCATGAATGAGTTTTAAGAGCTGGAGATTTTCAGATTTTTATTGAACTATTTATCTACACATTTATTTGATCAAAAGTACAGTAAAACAGTAATATTGTGAAATATTATTACGATTTAAAATAACTGTTATTCTCTTGGAATATCTTGTAAAATGTCATTTATTTCTGTGATCAAAGCTGAATTTTCAGCATCATTACTCCAGTCTTCAGAGTCACATGATCCTTCAGAAATCGTTCTAATATGCTGATTTGCTGCTCAAGAAACATTTCTTATAATTATCAATGTTAAAAACAGTTGTGCTGGCTAATATGTTTGTGGAAACCCTGTGATAATCTTTCTCTCTTTCATACAGCCCTCATTGCTGACATCACGTACATCGGGTGAGTTTATTTCACATGCTTTGCAGGAAGTAATTTGATAAGAATCTCCATGTAAAACAATGACCAGTTGTATTGTTAATAAGTTGTAATATAAGTTCATATTATACTGTACTGTAGCTTATGTCATGCTGTACAGCTGGAATGAAAAAAAAAAGATGTGTGTGTGATTCACTTTATCTGTATAAACAGATACAGGTGTCAGTATAAAGACTCGAACCACTGGCATATTGGCTAGTGAAACAATCTGGAAATTACTCCTTTAACATTATTCACAAAGGAAAGAGAAAGCATGCATATTGTAATATACAAACAAATGACGTCTTAAAAAATGTGTTTGTTTGCCGTTGCTCTTTTTGACAGTTGACACAATGGAGGAGCAGGTGGACAGACTAAGTCTGACTGAAGGTGCTGCTGCATTTCTTAGTGGAGGTACTTCAGTAAATCTCCAATACAACATCATGCTTGATGTCTGTTTTCAACCTAAACTAAAAAAGCTCTTATCTCTGTCTTAGATCAGAGCCAGCACTCAGTGATTGAAAATGAGAGCTTAAACATGTCTGTGACTGAAAATCCAGAGGTAAGCCTTTTATACATTAGATCTGTATGCTGTGTTCAATACATGTTTAGCTTAATCAACAGCATTTGTGGCATAATGTTGATTATCATAAATTTTTTGACTCGTCTCTTGCAAAAATCTGGTTACTTGGACAACAGATGTGAATTACTTCTACTGAACCAATAATGTACCTTTAAAATTTCTGCCTGCTGTTATCAGTGCTAGAGCAAACTTTCAGAATAAGTTCAAATGTTGTACAATTTCGGTGTTCACTTGAGGATTGTTTTCATGATTTTCACTTCCTACCTCAACGTTATTGAGTTGATTCTGGAAATTGCGGTAAGTGTTTATGTTCAACATTTCCTGTGAGGGAGAAAAGTGACTCCAATACCGTTTTTCACCGTATATAGTAGGGAAATTTACCGTTAACCATTTAACAGGTTTTTACTGTAGCATATTTACAGTCTTTTACCGTTAAATTCAGTCATTTTTTACAGTGTTGTTTATATAGTGCTTGTTCTGAATAAGGTGCAAACATATTTTGGCCTTTCGGTGCCACTGTCTTTATTACATTAAGCCACATTAAGTTCTCTCTTTATAATGGTTTTCTTTTCAGAATATTTAGAAGAAGTGTACTGCATTAAAAATGTGGCCAACATTTCAAGTTTCAGATATGCAGTAATAGTTATTTTGATATCTCTGCAGTATGTGCTATATTATATGAACTTTTAAATGTGTATATATTTGTAAATGTATAAATGTAGTCAGTAGCCAACCACAAGTGTTAACACAAGTATTAACAGCTTCTAGCTGCTTATTCCAAAGATCTTCATTCAAAAACAATGTATTTCTGTGGTCTGTGGTATTGCTGCAAAACGTACCATTGAGTTTTCATGATTTGTAAATAACCTGGATAATTTACAGGTACTCTCTGTACTCTTACAGATTATGTATAAATCGAATATGGTTTCTCTGAGCAGTGATTTTAGCATTTTGCATATTAAGCACAAATTGTATGTGTAATAAATAAATTACAACAATATTGTTATAATTTAATACAAAGTATATTTGACAATATAATCATGTATTGTAATATAATAAAACTACAAATAAATATTACAGTAATAAATATAATGTATGAACAGAACGTTTAAATAACAAATATTTTGCATAAACAGGTTTGGATAACCTTCTCATAATGCTGCAATGAGAACTTCATGCATGATGATCAAGAGCTTGGTCACAATCGCCTGCCTTTAATAACACAGACCCACAAATGGTGATAAGAATGACTCAAGCTTGGTTATTAAAAAGCCATAATTTCTTTCTGACGTTGTCAATGCACAAAGATCCTTCTGTATTGTAAGTAAATGGTGAGCACTTTCATATTTCCTTACATCCTTTAAAGGGTGATCAGCACACCGAGCAACCCCCCACCCTCTCCCCCCTTAAAGGGGTCATGAACTGCCTTTGTTTTTTTTATTTTGTACTGTTCTCTGAAGTCCACTTATATTTTTATCAAGATTTTTACATAAAAAAACTCATAATTTAGGAGTAATAGGCTGTATTCTGTCCTGTTTTTCAGAGGTGGCGGATTGTAGACACAGAAGTAAACGCCCACTGCTGTGATTGGCTAATAGTTGTGTATGTTTGACAGCATAGAGCCTTCACAGATGGATGCTTAAATAGTACATATCAAACAATCTATAATAACAGACAAAGCAATAGTGATCACGTAATAAAAATTCACACTTACTCCCACTTGTGTGTTGCGACATTACTGTCGGATCCAATCTAGCCGGCACATCATCGTCTTTTAGTTTCAATCTTTCTGAAAATCCTCCGATTAATTGTGCCTTGTTTGTAAATGAATCCGCGGTAAAATGAAATGAACAATGGACCAAGTTCTTACTGACGCGTTCTGGAACGTCATTGAAAATAAAGTTAATCAAATAAGGTTTAAATTTGCCGCTCTTGTCATTTACCTACTATGTGTGAGAATAAGTGGGCGGGGCTAAACAGGCAGCGATGTAGAAGCAGGCGTTGATCTTCTTCTGCGGAGGCGGTGCTTATCCACACTATTACATCATAGAGTGGCACATTCCACAAGCTGTCGTTTTGACAGACTGGCTTCAATATAAGCTGTTTTTAGACTAACAACAAAGCTTTGAGGATGTTTTTATAGCACAATGAACTCATATATATCAAAACATCAAGGGAATTTTGTTTTCTCAGTTCATGACCCCTTTAACCAACCCCAACAGGCAGCCTAATAAAAATATTATGCATGCTCAGCGTGTTCACCTTTGATTTGGTTAGAAACACGTACACCTTTTCATTTTTTACATTCATCTCTACATGAACAAATAATGACTTAAACATAACATTTTCACTTAATAATTAGCAAAAATAGAATGAATAATTATATTGCTCCAGATCTTCAGTTACAAAAGCGGGAAAAAATCATGCCAAACTTACTGACAGCTTCTAAGAAAAATATTATGTATGCTAAGTTTTAAATTACAATCGGCTAGAAATGCAGACACGTTTAAATTATTATTTTTTTTTTTTATTTTTTATTCAGGTCTACATAAATAATAACTTAAAACATTTTGTCATTCCTATTCAACAATTAGGGTGCCCATGGAAAAACGCCAGAATTATTTGTTGGATTTTAACTAATGAGCAACAGAATTAATTCTTGTTTTTGTTTACCTTAATAATAACTGTGTTTGTGACAATTCCTTTGAATGATTTTTGTATAAATATATATGCTCCATGTGTGCCGCATTAAAAAAACTTGGTACAATAAAACACTTTACAATGAGGTAGTATTCGCTAGTTAATGCATTAGTTAATATAACAGTGAACAGAGCTGCAATTATTAATCTTGATTATGTTAATATGAACATTTTAAACATTTCGCGTTTTATATATTAACATTACTTGTATTATGAACAAATGGAATTAAGAATGCACAATATTATATTTATAAATTAACGTGTTGTTGTGAACTCTTCAGGGTACCCAATCCATTAGCTGATGTTAATGAACTTAACCATACTGTAAAGTCTATAGCTGTGAAAAATATATAGGCAGTTTCCATGTTAAGTTAGGGTTAGATAGTAGGTAATGTATTAAGATGTCATGACCATATATAAAATAGGAAGCAAAATGTATTCAATAGGAAGCTTATCATATGTATGTACAAAGAGAATGCATTATGAGGCAAAACCTTATGATTACTCATAGGTGAAATGAATATCGTTAATCATCTAACAAGGTCACATGTGAAGGTCTGGGTAATTTACAGTATATGGTAAATGAACAACCAGTTGGTGCAGGAGAAATGGCCAGGAATAGAGATCTGAGTGACTTTGACAAGTGCCAAATTGTTATGGCCAGACAAGTGTGTCAGAGCCTCTCTGAAACAGCAAGGGTTGAGACTCTACCAACACCAGTCCAAGGAGGGACAAACCACAAATTGGTGGCTATTCCGTCTGGACCAAACCAATAGTAGGTCTATGTGGTGACAGTTTTAATGATGGCTAAAGGTTCAATGTTCAGGACACACATTGCATAGCACCTTGATGCATATGGGCCTGTGTAGGTGCAGACTGGTCAGAGTGCCAATAATTGACCCCTGTCCACAGCCGAAAGCCCCTAGAATGAGCACACGAGCAACGTAGTGGAAGAAGGTCATCTGGTCTGATGAGTTTACTTGGGCATGTAATGGCACCAGGATACACTGCGGGACGATGACAAGCTGGTCGAGGGACTGTGATCTGCTGGGAAGCCCTATTCAAGTGGACATCAATCTGACACATGCCACCTACCTAAACTTCATTGCAGACCAGGTACACCCTTCCTGGTAATGGTATTCCCTGAAGCAGGATCTTCACTGTACACTGCTTAGGAATGATTTGAGGAACATAATGAAGATGTCAAGATGTCCTGATCTTCAGATGTTAATCTGTGAGATGTGCTGGACCAACCACTCCAATCTATGGTGGCTCAACCTCACAACTTAAGGACATGAAGGATCTTCTGCTAATGTCTTTGTGCAAAATACCACAGAACACATTTAGTCCATGACTCGGTGGGTCAGTGCTGTTTTGGCAGCATAAAGAGGACCAACAGCATATTAGACAGGTGGTGGTCATAATGTTTTGCCACTTTGGTGTATGTGCTTAGTAATGCTTGATTGGAACGAAGAAGACTGAGCCACTGCAACGAGAGAATAGAAGAACAGTGTGGAGAGGGAAAGCAATCACAGAAGACATGGGCTACTGCTGCTGCAGAGAAAGGAGTTCCTGCTACAGGATACCGTCATCAGAGAGGAAATGAAGAACCACAACTGGTGCTGAATGGATTGACAAATACCAGTTTATACGTGCACACAGAGACTGGAAACCCTATTGAGGGTCTTGTGAATTGTTTAGTAGTTAATTTTGCTGTATTTGGTCATGTCTGTTGTAGCGTCTGGACCAATCAAACACACAATATATATTTTGTTAGACAGTTGACCCTGAGAGGTCAAGTAAATATCTACAGCGGATCTAAATATTTATAATTAATTATAACTAGTTATGATTAATTATTCATATTTCCCTTATGAGCTGATTCGCAACACTGTGTAGCTAACTATATTTTTGTATGTACACTATATATAGTGGACTCTGTGCTTGCTAGCACCACTGCTTAGACACTTGTGTCTTTTGTGTGGTAGATCCAGCAGTATGAGATGAAGGGGGACAAGAGAGGAGTCTGTCTGATCATCAACAACTGTGACTTCAAAGACTGTGGACTACGGAACAGAGACGGAACAGACATTGACAAAAGTTAGTGAAAAACACGCTTGTACAAACCAGTCACCAAGCACATACACATGCCAGTAGGCCGATAACCATCTTAACCCTTAAATGCATGAATGTTTCGCCAATTATTATTACATATTCATGTCTTTAGAGACCCGGACCTATATATCCAGCACGGACGGATCTCTTAACTGCTGCAATAGCAAAAAACTCTTGATATTTTAAGAACAATTACAGAAGAATAAAATAAAGCATATTTCGTTACCTTTTGAAACTTATAAGGGTTCAATTTGAGCAGATGATTTTACCATCGCTGTCATCGTCAGAGCGCACTTCCACAGTACATCCAGCATCTGCCTCATATTCACGATCTCAACCATATTCTCGTTTTCAGTGACTTCATATTCAGTCTTTTGATCACTGGCAGCTTATTCACCACATCCACCATCAAAAGACAGTGACATTTATATTTCACACACATACAGTATATATAAACATAACACATTTTTCTTAAATATATACATGCATGTGTGTGTATCTATATATATATATAATAAATATACACAGTACACACACATATATTATGTAAACAAAAACTTATTTTGGATGCGATTAATCGTGATTAATCATTTGACAGCACTAATATATGTACAGTATATATATATATATATATATATACACATATACATCCTTAAATTAAATATTGTGAATTACCCTGGAGCTTGTTGGTTTAGTTCATGGCTTGTAACTCTTCAACAAAGACTTTTTGTAAATCCCTAATTGGGAAAATGAATGGAAAAAACACATCCAAAACCACCTCAGTGAGGAGAAAAAATGCACCAATGCACTCTTTTGCACTGTAGAGAAATCTGCCCAACCAGTAAGAGTCATGCTTTTGGTCACGTGCACAAAGCCGTTGCTGTTACATAATACCTGTGTCCATTTTTGTTCACACAGAAAGTCTGGAGGTTGTGTTCCAGTGGTTGGGCTTTGAGGTCCTGACCGAACAGAACTGTGATCGCCATCAGATTCTGCAGGTGCTGAGGGACCTGGCCGATCGTGACCACACGTCAACGGATTGCGTGGTGTGCTGTGTGCTGAGCCACGGACAAATAAAAGGCATTGTCGGGGTTGATGGACAGATTGTCACCTATAGGGAGCTGATAGAGACCCTGAGTCCAAGTCAGTGTCCCTCTCTCTTCAAAAAACCCAAACTGTTCTTCATCCAGGCCTGCAGGGGTACCGACGATCAGCCAGCAGCATTTCCTCAAATTTTCCCAGATGATGAAGTCATGCCAGTCAGCGATGCAGCTGTACCCAGAGACTCCATACCTGAGATGGCAGACTACCTGTTAGCCATGTCCACTGTACCACACTACGTCTCATACAGGGAAAAAGACAATGGAACCTGGTTTATACAGTCCCTCTGCCACAACTTGAAACTGCTGGTGCCAAGGTGAGCAAGTCTTTCTATCAGGTTGTTTGAGGGACTTTGAGGGGCTGTTGCGTTTTTACTAGGGCTGCCCCTTATAGTCGACTAACCGTTAGTAGACGAGAAGAGGCTTAGTCGATCAAAATTTTATTAGACGCGTACTTGCAGGAAAAAAAATCAACAGGAAGTGGCAAAGTTACGTAGTGTGTGATGGACAGATTATTAACAGCTGGTCTGTGTGGTAATTACAGTACATCAGTCAGGACATGCAAATGTGTTTCGTTTTGTTCATCGACCTCAAATGTGGCTTATCATCTGAAACATGTTAGTAGTAGCATCATTAAATGGCCGCTCGCTCTAACATTAACCTAGAAAAACGTGCGCTGTTGAAGTGTTTCTGCGGAGCGTGGATGCTGAACAGTCCTTTTTGGTCATAAAGATAAGAGTAATACATCTTTTGAATCTTAAAAGGTCTACTTTAATTTGTGTGCACTCACAATAACAACAAAACGTTGTGCTTTTGTAAAATAATGAAAGCAAACAGGCTGCACTTTCTGCCGTCTCGGTCTCTTTGAGCTTGAGCACATCAAAAAAAAATGTTTTAAAACCAATCCGGAACTTGCCTCACAGACATGAAAAAAAATTTGAAAGTGAACTGTCTACAGATTCTTCAGGGTCTTCAGATTGGTCCACTGTTTTGGACCTGACATTGATGAGTGGCGCTGTTTGTAAAAGTTGAAATTCTTTTAACTTGACGCGGCATCTTAAAAACATGGCGCTAATGTGTAAGATGCTGCAAAAGATGCGAGACGCGCATGTAATAGGCATATATATATCGCTAGGGCATGTTTACATAGAAAACAATGTGAAAGTAGCACATTGGAATGGACAAACGCATTCTGTGTGAACGGCTCCTTACAGTCTAAAGTGGATCTAAAGGCCTAGATCCACTTACAGCTGTTTTCTAGAGTTCGGTCCGTGCCCAGGGCACCGCTGCATCATAATCCAGCCCTGTAAAAGTTTTTTCAGAAGGTGTTTTTTCAGCTGAATAATCGGTACACTGTACTGTGTTTGGGGAAGGTGCGCCGTCTTACTCAACAGAGAACTGTTTATGAACTATTTTCTTGTTTTTTACACATTAAAAACTCAAGACTTCATATTGGTTATTTTAGTAGCATTTAAAAAAATAAACTGGGAATAAATTATATACAGAAAGCAAGCAAAGACTGTTCCCCATCACTGAAGCGGACAGTCCATGACTTCAGTGTAGCACAAATGTTGGCGCTCTCTGCAAAATAAATCTCTTCCTACTGTATTTGCATGTTTCTCTATGCATGGATGATGAAATACTCTACTAAATTTGCCAAAAAGTGCAGAGCACACTGTGTGGAGTACTGCAGTGCACTCAACTAGACCTTCCAGTTGGATAGATTAACTAAAAGTATTATCAGCCACATTTATGAACACATTTTTTATTTCTTTCTTGACTCATTGGCTGAATTTGGCTCACTAGCATTCTACTCTTATAATTTCTGCCATATATTTTAGAATGAATGACTCTTATGAGCTGGTTCTTTTAATGAATCACACAAAAGAGGGACTGGGTGGATAAGGTTTCTCCACTGTCTGCAACTGTAAGTGTGTCCTGATTTGATTCTAGACGTTGGTTGGATTTCTGATCGTGTGTCTCTGTCTTATGTGCATGTAGGGGTGTCGATCTACTCTCCATTCTGACGAAAGTGAATAGCGATGTGAGCAAAAAGACGGACAAAAGCGGTTTAAAGAAGCAGATGCCACAGCCAGAGTTCACCCTCACCAAGAGAGTGGCTTTCCCTCCACCCAAAACTCGCCCGCCCCTTCCATAATGTCCTACTGCAGTCCATGATACCTCTCAAACACATCAGCATGCACAGACACACAGATGTTCATCAGCAATGTTTACATGACCTGTGATGTGATGATTATAAATGTGATGAAATACCGGTACTGTATGCTGTTTACATACGGTAATTTCCTCTTCCCTACGAAAACAAATGGAATATTTTAGATATTTTATGTAATCAACAAGTAGTTGTTTTAAAATCGTAGTGACAATAAAACACAGTGTGCACAAGCCTCAAATGAGCACAATACAATCTATGCACGTGAATGGATTTTTGATGCTGTCCTCAGGCAGGACATGAGCACATATCGCACACATGGGGATGTATTCAATAGATCTGCCAGCTACTATTGTACAATAAACGTCTTGTTTTTGTTGACTTTCTTTCATAAGGACCTGTTTACAAGTTTTCAGTAACGTGTTTTGTTACAGGTCACAGATAGATGATACAGTCTTATTGTTTAATACAGGACAGTCCTGCACAATCATGAAGTGTAAATAGAACATTAAATTATCAAATTCGCCCCAAAACAATGCTGTTTATGTTTCTGCTGGGGAAAAGACTATGATTGTACTTGTGTGGATCTGTCCAAGAGGCACGATGCTCTAATATTTGATGAAAAAGCTCTTTTGTTTGTTGCTCTGTGTAGTTTCCACACAAGAGGGTACTGTTGCAACTAGCAGTTTATTAGCCTGCTACAACAGCCTGCTGCTGCTGTTTATTGCCCTCTTCACTCTAAATAAATAAAATAAAAATTGTATGGTGACCTAGGCCTACTTAAAATTCATGAGATATTTAATTAATTGATTCTTCCTAATTCCTCATTTTCATCTTTTACATTTTCCTTTCTAAAATAGCCTACCATTTACATACACTCAGAAAGTCTTCCAGTTTTGTCGACATTCACACAAAGACCAGTCACTAGTCAGGTGGCTACACAGCATTTGACCTCTGGATTAAAAAAAAAAAAATTTTAAATCAGGTTTAAGAAGTGTTTCAACATTGCATCATACTGATAAACGCATCTTTGGAAGGGTTTTGTCTTTCAAACACATTAAAATGGACACATTTACCTTTTTTCTCTCTCCATGTAATGCATGGATTCCCAAACTTTTTGTCACTGAAATTCTTTCACCAAATATATTTACTTGAAGCACCCTGAGATTTTAAAATAAATATTGTAATAATTAAGTATCACATTTGCATGCTCACGGTTCTCTGATGTTGGTTAATGATCACATTACATGTAGGTAACATAAAATATTTCATCTTTTTTAGTAACTCTTTTATTTTGATTGTTGTTATTTTAAAATGGTTTATTTCAGTTTTACATTTTTATGATTTAATTACATTTTCATTAAAACTGTCTGCAACTGTAAGTGTGTCCTGATTTGATTCTAGACGTTGGTTGGATTTCTGATCGTGTGTCTCTGTCTTATGTGCATGTAGGGGTGTCGATCTACTCTCCATTCTGACGAAAGTGAATAGCGATGTGAGCAAAAAGACGGACAAAAGCGGTTTAAAGAAGCAGATGCCACAGCCAGAGTTCACCCTCACCAAGAGAGTGGCTTTCCCTCCACCCAAAACTCGCCCGCCCCTTCCATAATGTCCTACTGCAGTCCATGATACCTCTCAAACACATCAGCATGCACAGACACACAGATGTTCATCAGCAATGTTTACATGACCTGTGATGTGATGATTATAAATGTGATGAAATACCGGTACTGTATGCTGTTTACATACGGTAATTTCCTCTTCCCTACGAAAACAAATGGAATATTTTAGATATTTTATGTAATCAACAAGTAGTTGTTTTAAAATCGTAGTGACAATAAAACACAGTGTGCACAAGCCTCAAATGAGCACAATACAATCTATGCACGTGAATGGATTTTTGATGCTGTCCTCAGGCAGGACATGAGCACATATCGCACACATGGGGATGTATTCAATAGATCTGCCAGCTACTATTGTACAATAAACGTCTTGTTTTTGTTGACTTTCTTTCATAAGGACCTGTTTACAAGTTTTCAGTAACGTGTTTTGTTACAGGTCACAGATAGATGATACAGTCTTATTGTTTAATACAGGACAGTCCTGCACAATCATGAAGTGTAAATAGAACATTAAATTATCAAATTCGCCCCAAAACAATGCTGTTTATGTTTCTGCTGGGGAAAAGACTATGATTGTACTTGTGTGGATCTGTCCAAGAGGCACGATGCTCTAATATTTGATGAAAAAGCTCTTTTGTTTGTTGCTCTGTGTAGTTTCCACACAAGAGGGTACTGTTGCAACTAGCAGTTTATTAGCCTGCTACAACAGCCTGCTGCTGCTGTTTATTGCCCTCTTCACTCTAAATAAATAAAATAAAAATTGTATGGTGACCTAGGCCTACTTAAAATTCATGAGATATTTAATTAATTGATTCTTCCTAATTCCTCATTTTCATCTTTTACATTTTCCTTTCTAAAATAGCCTACCATTTACATACACTCAGAAAGTCTTCCAGTTTTGTCGACATTCACACAAAGACCAGTCACTAGTCAGGTGGCTACACAGCATTTGACCTCTGGATTAAAAAAAAAAAAATTTTAAATCAGGTTTAAGAAGTGTTTCAACATTGCATCATACTGATAAACGCATCTTTGGAAGGGTTTTGTCTTTCAAACACATTAAAATGGACACATTTACCTTTTTTCTCTCTCCATGTAATGCATGGATTCCCAAACTTTTTGTCACTGAAATTCTTTCACCAAATATATTTACTTGAAGCACCCTGAGATTTTAAAATAAATATTGTAATAATTAAGTATCACATTTGCATGCTCACGGTTCTCTGATGTTGGTTAATGATCACATTACATGTAGGTAACATAAAATATTTCATCTTTTTTAGTAACTCTTTTATTTTGATTGTTGTTATTTTAAAATGGTTTATTTCAGTTTTACATTTTTATGATTTAATTACATTTTCATTAAACACACAAACCTGCAGTTCATTTACGAACTTATGTTTGTGAAACCTTGATAATGTAATGTTATGTTTAATGCACTTCATGTTGTTAATTAGAACAAATAGAATGTATTTTCTTACTCTTTGTATTTTTATATCAATATGGTACAAGATTGTCCTACTTAAATTTGATAAACGAGTTAGGTCAAAAGTAATCAGAAAGTAGTCTGATTATATTAGCCTACCTAAAATGTGTAATGTAATGGATTACGTTACTAACTACGTTTTTTTTTTTACAATTTACTACAAAGGCCCTGTCCCAAATGGCACCCTAAACCCTCGCGGTCTTCCTCAAAGACTTTCGCCAACGACCACTCAAAGACAACTGACCAAAGACCATTTGAGATATTTTGTTTAATTTAATGTTTAAGTGTGACTGTCTGTATTATGTTAGCTTACTAGTGCAATGTGAATCTTCCTTTTATTGTGGCAAAATAAAGCTTAAATCAGAATCCGATTGGTTGTACCCTTTTTTTTAAAGGGGTCATATGTTGCGATTTCAATTTTTGCTTTCTCTTTGGAGTGTTACAAGCTCTTGGTGCATAAAGAAGATCTGTAAAGTTGCAAAGACTAAAGTCTCAAATCCAAAGAGATATTCTTTATAAAAGTTAAGAGTCTGCCACGCCTACCTAAAGATATCAACAATTCATGTTTAAATGTTAAAAGGGCGACAAAACTATTACAGATATCAAAAATGCATTTCTTACTAGTTACAATTCTAAATGCACATATCAGCTTTGTATTTCTTACTAGTAGAAATATAATTTTTGATATCAACAATTACATTTTCACTAGTAAATATGTTAATTCTTGATATCAACAATTTAATTGTCACTAGTGACAATGTTCATTTCTGATATCATGAATGTGATTGTTACTAGTAACAAAAGTCATTTTAGATATCAGAAATTACCCTCCCAATTGTTGATATCAGAAATACATTTTCAGATATCAGAAATGAACATTGTCAATAGTGACAATTAAATAGTTGATATCAAGAATAGATGTCTGTACTAGTAACCATGTGATTACTGATATAAAAAATAAAGGTTTTTACTAGTAAGAATTGTATTTCTGATATGTGAAATTGGAATTTCAACTAGTAAGAAATTAATTCTTGATATCAACAATTGATTTTGAATGGCAGCCTATGGTGACATTTAACTAGTGAAAATACAATTACAGATATCAATAATTATAGTTTTTACTAGTTGAAATCTAATTCCTGATATCAAGAATTAACATTTTAACTAGTGAAAATTGAATTGTTGATATCAAGAATTCATATCCCGAGGATGAATAAAAGTCAAAACGGCTTGCCATACTTTAACAGTCTATGGTAGCAAGTTGCAAGCATAGACTGTTAAAAAAAGGTACAACCAATTCCAAAAGCGTACGAATGGTGGAGCCAGAGATCGTCTTATTGAAAGAGGAGATCGCACACTCGGCGCCAAACCGGGTAACTACATGACTGGCTGTCAAAACCACAGATATACATATCTGAGTTCAAAACGGTCAAGATACCAGAGAAGTGAATGGGCTGTGCCGTAAAACGAACCACACGATTCGCAATATCATCCCTGACTTCTACTTATACACGCTAAAATGAACATGTCGTGCCAAAACCTGTTAAAGATCAACGGACAGTCAGCCTATATACTGTGGCGAGTTGTTCCCACACAAAAGCAGTCTATTCAGCGTGCTGAAGTGTCTTCTTTATTGACTTTCAGTCAAGAAAAACACATTATAATCTCCTCTTCGGGATTCCGCAACGTTACCCATTACAGAGGGTTTCCCCTGTAGGAGGGGCTCTGGCGCAGTGCTGCTTGGAAGGCGGGGCTTATAGTCAGAATACTGGAATACTATTGGCCAGTGCTCTTGCCGATCCACGCAGAAGCGGCATACTCCAGCAATAATGGCCGATTCTCAGTAAGAAGCTAGTTTAATAATTGTTGTATTTAAACACGTACGTGTCTGTTTAATGTAACCTCTGCAGCGGTTCCGACTGAGGTGGATGGCACATTGTTTATTAAATACACTTATGGACAGGAAGGATGTATTGTTTGTTATAATGGAGCGTCTCTTATATGTTTTGGGCTGTATTTGTATTTCTGTAGTGTCTGTAGTTTGCTCTTATCTAGCATGTTTGTATTATGTTCCATCATTATTCTGACCAGGTTTTAACATATTGTTTTCGTCTCAGAGTCACCATGGCTAATCATCGCTGTCAGGATAAAACACCCGTCCAGATCCTGCATGAATATGGCATTAAAATGGGCAGTGCGCCTGTGTACGAGCTCATACAGGCTGATGGAGACATACACCAGCCTTCCTTCATGTTCAGTGTCACTATAGGAGACATCACAT